CAGTTGACTCCTCTACATGCAGACTGCTCTCCCTATCCTATCCCAGCTGCTTTTCAGCCTCAGCTCTGAACTCATTCCTGTTCCTAACCACCACACATTGCTTTTTGCTAACTGCTTTACAATGGCTTTTCTTTAAGACCAGTTGACTCCTCTACATGCAGACTGCTCTCCCTATCCTATCCCAGCTGCTTTTCAGCCTCGGCTCTGAACTCATTCCTGTTCCTAACCACCACACATTGCTTTTTGCTAACTGCTTTACAATGGCTTTTCTTTAAGACATTATTAGTTAACAAAGAAACACCAGTTATGACTTGCTTAAGATACTCAAATAATATGTTCATCCTTATTTTGAAGTTATTGATTTTATTATTTTGAAGTTGCTGATAATTTGTACTCAAATTGGATAGTTGTCTTCACTGTCCATCTCGTACTGTGTAAAGATAGATATGTATGTCATGCACCCAATCTAGTGCTTTGCTCACAACAGGCATTCTGTTTGCTGCACCAAAACTCACTGGTCAGATCTATTCTCTCCTCCATTCTTCTCTTCTAGTCAAGGATACACAAGTACTATGTGCAAGTCATGTACTGATTCTACTTCTGGCCCTAGGCATAAAGCACAGTGGACTTCTATTGGTAATACTTAGTATAAACAACATTCTCACTGATGGTTTCTCTACTTGCTACACAGACTATTTACCTACCTATCTATCCATATCTATATACAGATATGTATGTGTATATATATATATGTATACACACATATAGATGTACATGTATATAATATATAATAGACATATATAAAATTTTTTTCTTCCAGTAATCTTGTAGGTGACAGTGCTGATATTGTTTTCTAAATATTTAATATATAATGTGGGATAAAACAAATCAGGGCTGTGTGTGTGTGTGTGTGTGTGTGTGTGTGTGTGTGTGTGTGTGTGTGTGTATGGAGAGAGACAGACAATTTCTTGGCTCTGTCCACTGAAGAGATCTAGAAACAATGACCAAACCAGTAGGAATGAGCATTCCTAGCACCCAGACTGGTGCTCAAATACCATTTCCCATTAAAAGAAACCAGAGAAATAACTGATTCCATGTAAGAGACAGGAAATGTACAAGATAAGCCTGTAATATCTTGTCATAATAGTTGGCAAGGAAGTTATCAAGGACTAGTATTATATATTAAAAGGATTTGTGAACCAACTTGAAGAGAGCTCACTACCTAAAGATGGCACAATTTGGGCATCACTAAAGATAACTGCAATGGGTGTAAATACATCAAATATGCTTAAATATATGAGTTCAAAATTATGTATATTTAAAAAACTATTTGGTTACTTCTAAAGGATGGTTAGGAAGCAACTTTATTTTGAAAACTGATAAGTAAAAGATTTCAAGCATTTATCCTGCCTTTCCTACACATACGTTATCACTATATAACCAAATAGCAAGTTGAATATTTCTCTTTAGAGAAGTAATATAAATGAAGGAGGAATTATAGAACTGGAATATCACCAATACGCAAATGGTAAATTAAGGATCTAATTAGTGAATTAAAGATTGCACATCAATGGCTGTTAACAAAACAAAAAGAGAATCTGTTAGACATTATGTACTTCTTGATAATGAATACAATTAGTTTCTTCAGGAATTAGTCTTTTCTTCAAAAATCGATCCTGAACTGATTAAACCTCTAATTTAACTACTAATAATCAGGAAATTCAGAAGATGGAGGAAAATGTTAACTATATCATGGAATACAATCAACAAAATTCCAACTGAGGGCAACTAGAAGACAAACGATCTGGATTCTTCAAAAAATAGATAGCAAGGGGGTAAGTGAGACAGAAGGGGAACCTATAGATTAAAAGAAACATAAGACACACACACATGCACACAGGCAAGCAAAGCCAAACTATGTGCTTATAAAAGCACATTTGGATGATAAAACTGCAAAGAAAAGTAAGAAGGTGATTACCATAGAATTCATGATAGTATTATTCTTGGAGAAGGTGGTGGTGATGGGTTTGGCAGAAAGCACTCAGATTGCTTCTGGGGTGGCTAGCAGGGTTCTGTTGATTTGCTTTATAGTAATTCATTAGATTGTGCATCAGTTTTATGCTACTTTCTGAATCTGCATTATTTTAATAAGTTTTTAAAAACAAATACACAAGTGATATTTTTTCATTACAGAAAACTCAGAAAATAAAGAATAAAATCATTGTTAACATTTTGGGAAACGTTCTCTCGTCCTATTTTTACATATGTATTTTATATAGACAAATATGCATGTACTTGTAATTGATAATCTGCAGTTGCCTGGGTCAGACTACCTTGCCATACCATCTCTGTGCCTTGGCCCAATAAACTAATCCTGGGTTTGGGTTCCTGACACGCTGATTATCAGGTCCAATCAGTGTCCCTAATCCTAGGTCCAGGACAGTTTTCCCACTTGGGCACTGGGCTATTCCCACATGTCCTCCCAGACCCTGGAGAGAAGTACACTCCCCACTCTTCCAACTAACACCCTAATGACAGACCTTCAAAGTCTGTCCAACTCCTCTGGTCTCAGATCCAATCAAGCTGGCTGCCACCTGCATGCGAGCACTAAAAGTATGTTTCAAGTCAAAAAGACCTGTGCTCTGTTCTGCATTACTGGCTATGTAACCTTGGGCAAGAAACTTAACCTCTCGGAGTCTCAAATGCCTTATATGTATAATTGGGGTGACTACTTTCTACCTTTCAGAAATATTATAGAAATTAAATGAAATAATCTGTATGAAGTGCTGACTACCAGGCCTTACACACTAAATGGCTTCAACACTTGCCAATTTTTCTGTCTCTACTATAAGCCAGCCCAAGTTTGGCTGGAAGACCATTTGAGCCTCCCCTATGACATCATGACACTTGTCTGCTATCTCCCTCAGACACTCATAATGCATATCACCAGCCTCAGGGAAGCTATGCCTAAGCTGTCCATCTCAGAGTGTGTCTTTGTCTTGTACACTTGGCTCTGTCCAATCCCTTCATCTTTAACAGAATGCTTCACTTTGTGAGACTTTAAAAAACAAAAGGCCCTCTATAAGTTAGGTATAGATGGAAAGTATCGCAACATAATTAAAGCCATATATGATAAACCCACTGCCAATATCATCCTGAATGGGGAAAAGCTGAAAGCTTTTCCTTTAAGAACAGGAACTAGACAAGGATGCCCACTCTCACCACTCCTATTCAACA